TCTTTATACGTAATTATACTTGTATTGCTTCTACATAGGTTTTGGGCAAGTCCATTTTTGTTTTTAGCGGTTTTGGTAATTCTGCTTATTGAATTATTATAACCAAAATCAAAACTCCTTAGCAAAACTTAATTTCATGTGCAAACACTTTTTTACCATTTTTAAAACAGGAAAATCTCCCAGGCCAAATATTTCTATAAATTTCTAATAAATAAAATAAATAACGGCGACATCAAACTAAATAAAAACAGTAACCATTGATTTCAAACTATAGATTCGTCATTAATGAAGGTATTAAAGCCACCAAATGCAAAAAAAGGACCGATGTTTGTAGCGCTAACTCACAAAATAAGCGGATGTCACATACAAAGATATAATATTAAGATACTAAAAGGTTAGTTTGGAAATTTTTAGCTTTTTCAATTATAAATGTTGATTAATTTCAGTATTACATGGTATAAGCGACCGAAAATCGCAAACACAACTAGCTGCTACTGATTCAATTCAAAGAAAAACTTAAAATATATTAACGTCAAGAACAGCAACATGTCTGCAATTTATATAGCAACTGAATAAGTGATTATTTTGCTTGTGGACTCAGCCTTTCTTCTGGTCATAACTAAGTAACTTCAAATTGTAAAGACACCAAAAACGTACAAAATAAACACAATATTGAGTGCAATTTTTTCACATTTCCATATTCCATAGAACAGTCATCACCCAAAGCGAGACTCCGCCAACATCTATAATTGACTTTGATAATTATTATTAAAAGGAACATGGAGCATAAAAAAATCATATTTGTCATGATAATGTATTTGTATTTCACTAAGGAGATATTTATGATTTCCCGTCTGAAAGTACTGCCTGGTCGCCGTGTAAGATACAAATTACATTTTTAACATTTAAATTTTATGAACTGAAACCAATTGAAACGAATGATTAATTGTCCTTTAGCGATGTAACTTGATTTATTTCTAGACGCGAAGAAAGGTATGGAGTTCAAAAGCGAAATCACTGTTAATCTTAGATTGGACTTACCAAACGCGTTAACTGCCAGCTCCACGAAAAGCGTTATGATGCTGTGGGTTAATCCTGTCCTCTGCTTCTGCTTTTTAGACGAAGATTTTCACAATGACACGAAAGCGTTCTAGCGATGTTATTTTATATTGCAATAAACATAACAGACGATAAAGAAAGGAAATACACCATGGACTGAAAACGAATTCACTCGCCTGAAAAGAAAAACCAACAGCAAACCACAAATTACTGAAAGTGGCTTCAAATCCAATGAATGCTATGTAATGCCAGCGAAAGCAACTCTTTGGTTTAAAAAAATACAAAAGACTGCTAAACTGATTTCTTCGGTGCCATGAAAGAAATTGTCATTAGTAAAAGAAAATCTGTCTTATAATACGCTTAACAAGTAGAAACACAAGTATCACTAGAAAGAGTAACTAATTTACATGTTAATGGTGAATGCTACTCCTTAAGATGAATTAAATATGATAAAATCTTATTGCGATTGGTTTGTTTTCCACGAAGACGATTTTTTGTTATTGAATATTTATTTTATAGTAGTAAAATATGTCTAAGTTTTAACATAACGAAAAAAGGACTACATATGAAATCAAACGGTTTTCATGCAAATAAATCCTAGTTCAACAGGACAGCGTATGACGTCACTATACTCAATACGTTTCCTGCAATGTATGTTGCGCCTTATAAACCACTTTCACGGAATTAACACTAAGGAGTTTTTTAAAACTTTGTATTGAATTGTATGAAAAAAAGAAAAAAACAAAAGAAAATAAAACTAAGTTAAGTCTTCTTCTTATATCCGTATTGTCCTCGCTATATTTAGAGTTTAACATGGTAAACTGCATTTAAGTTTCTTTGTAAAATAAAATAGCACTTTAAGCTCTTTGGTCAAATAAAATCGTTATTAAAAGCGTAGACTGACAAAAGACTTTACTCAACTCAAAAGCTAATACTGTATAACATTAGAAATTTCCCTAGTTGTTTTTTAGTACAGAATGGACAAAAATTAAACCATGACCTCTTGCGACCCTTCCCTAAGAGAAACAAAAATAAAGGGCCATTAGTCCAACGATGATAAAACATGATAGTAATAAAATATTTGAACACAAAGTCATTCATACTCAGAAAAAAACAACTTAATAAGTTGTGGCTGATAAAAAATTAAAATATTCATACAATGTTTTAGTGATCAAGCTAGCTTTTGCAGCTGATATATACTTACAAAATAAGCATGTTATTTAGACGTTAACGTTCCGAGAAATAAGGGATTTTGAAACGTTCTAAATTCTAATAGAAAGTAAAAGACAATACTGCTTTTTGTGTTAAGCCCATGTTCCTTTTATATGGCGAATGGAATTTTTCGTTCACTAATTTCGTGACAGAGAAATTCTGTTTTTCAAACAGTTAAAATTTTATAGAAATCTAAATTTCCAATTTATTCTTGGATGTTCAGGATTGAAATTTTAAATGCTGTACAGAAAATAGCCTAACTTTCAATACATGTCAACTTCAAAAAGTGATATTTGCTTCGTCGCAATAAACAAAATGAAATAAAATGAAATAAGAAACTTAATTAAAATTGTGCTATTGCATGATAAAAAAATCCTAAAATCTACAGGTTCATAAAAACACTATTACGCTTTGATTGACATGATTGGATAATGAAAATGAGCATATGTACGAGGATATTTAATATTTCTTTCAAATGTCAAAATGATCAATAAATTCATCATCGTATTAGTTAACAGATGTGAATCCACATTGTTCTAAACTAATGGCCATTAATTTGCAGTCGAGAAAACACAGATACAATTTTTGCACTACTGTCTTACGCACGGAAATTTTGACTTCCTATCTTTTTCATAATCTGTTTTGTTTGGTGCGTGTGTGCATGCGCAAACTTTTTCTAGATAAGCGATAACAAAATCCATAATAACAACTTAAGTATGTAAATCCCACAGAAAAGAAAGATATTATATGTCTCATGTGCAGCTAAATACTGTCTTAGTAAGCTGAACACTAATTAAAAAACAGGAAGAACTATTTTAACGCTAAAATCATTTTCACCAAAACGGCAATAAAAACATATAGTAATAATAAGGTGAATGACGTCATTAAGGTAAGACAAGAAATGTACGGTACAAATTACTCCATTTTACCTTGCTCTGTTGTTTACGGAGGAAACCATGGGCTTTCAAAGCAAGTTAAAGCGGTAGTAAATTTGAGGAAGTTTAATGACCACAAACTACTTTTTAGAAATGGTCGCCTACTTTTTGGCCACTATTACAATGATAGTTAATACTAAGTATTTGCATTATATTATTTACTTAATTGAAAAGAATTTTAGTAATGTGCTAGTAGGGAAGTCACGTACATTTTCTTTTTACATTAACGCTAGAGAGGCTACTTCATTGTCTCATTTTGGCAGACTTTAAGAGCATTTGAGCAAGAGCAATAAAAAGTCTCCATTGTGACTTATCTTTAATTAGTAAGTCAATTTAGTTCCAAGAATTATTTTAAAACGTCAAAAAATGATGATCAATGGGAAATGGGGAAACTTATTTTACGAAAGCAAAAACTGATTCCTTGTTTATAGCTAAGAAAATACAAAACTTTCCTTACGCTGCAAATTACGTCAACCTCTATAACAAACATTTGTATACATTTATTTATGACATTTATGTTATAACTCTACAGATCAGCTTTTCCATTGTTAAGTTGTCTTGCATTGATCATTTCTTTTACTCTTCCCGTCTCGAATTTTTGGTTTCTAACCACGTGACAAAGTGGCAAATTTTTTTCGAAGAATTTATGTAAAAATGGGTTTTAGTCAGAGTTCCAAGAGGAGAGGAATGCTTTTGTTCTTTTCGTGACCACCAACAAGGTCGTCATTCGAGAGGTTCTGGGTACGAGTCGATTTTTTATGGGATAAACGACACGAGACCCATATGGTCAGAAAGAGCAGATTGAAATTAACAACATTTTCAAGTTTGGTCGGTTTATCGGGCCTATATTGAACGAGATACAGCCATTCAAAATTTAAGCTCCAAAATTTACTAAGAAATATATAGACGTCCGGACGAAGTGTCCGGCAATCAATACGTCTCTTATAAATTTTCAAGTTTATAAATAGCTGTGTCTTGTTTAATATTGGTCCAATCGACATCAAACTTCAGATTTTTCACTACCTCAATGTGCTCTTTCTGACTATGTGGGACTCGTTGTTTATCCCATATTAGTAAAATCCAGCTAGTGGTCTATTGTCAATGCTGCGTTCTGATTGGTTGAGCTACTACTAGGCTTTATGTTATACCCACTAGTAGCTAAAAACACCGGCTTTTTGGCGGCAAAAAAGGATTTAAGTCTAGCTTTAAGTAGCTAAATGTTTTTTATTCTCGATATTTTTGACCAACTAGTTGGATTTTACTCAAACAATTATTCCTCTCGCCCTCATGGCCTCTGAGTCAATAGCCCATTCGGCCTTCGGCCTCATGGGCTATTGATTCAGAGCCCATTCGGGCTCTACGAATAATTCTTAAACCGACTTGTACACAGCCCCTCAGGTAGACTGCAAAACAACCGTACTTTTGTACACTGTACACTGTCACACAAGCAATTAAACAAAAGCTGAAAACGGAGAGCCTGAGTAAGAGCCTTACACCCGTAAGGCGTGTGAGGCTCTTACGCTGCTCTTACTCCCCTCTAAACCAATTTTTAGAAAAAACCCGACTGTTTTGCAATCTACCCCCCCCGACCAGGGGAATTGAGTTTTTAAATTTACGAATTTGATAAAGAGTTAGATGCTGTTGTTGTTATTGCAATATTTTACACCTTTACAATTTACTTGGACCTAAAGTTATTCCAAAAATAACACACTGACAATGTTCTCATTCAGCTTTTTTGCAATTAAAAAATAATTTCCAAGGATTTTTTAAAGAAAAATGTCATTTTATTTTGACTATTTACTTGGTTGATTTAATTTACAATTTAACCGCACATTTTAGCTCCGCCTGCCTACGCTTACTGATAAAATGTCGTCTCATCCTTCTGGTAATAAAAAAAAATGCACCAAGACATCTTTTCTGATAAATTTTTCTTAACAAAAATAATACCTTTAGTTAATAGATATAAGTCATGAAAAGAAAGTATTGCTGGTCACAGTATCTAAGGCTATGCTCACACGATACTGGACTGCTTTTCATGGCGACCGACACGAATGCTATCCTTTATAGTATGAACACCTATCCGATATGTGACTCTCCACTTTAGAAATCGCCGTTTAGCTCCTTTAAAGAAATCGCGCTGAAATCACTGTTCCTGTGCGTGAATAGAAGCCCTATTTAAAGTTATGATCTTCCAATGATGCTGTCTTGCAAAGATCCGGTAGCAGTTTGGTAAAGCCGTCCCGGCCATTCAAGAAATAGGTTAGCATTGTTCCTTTTCCCTGAGAGATAGAAATAAGAAAAAAACCACATCGTTTTTTCGAGTGAAGTAAAATTGAAATAAATAAGTCTTCTGTGAGATAAATCCAAATGTGTAATTTTGAGTGGCGTAACGACGGAACATCAAAAAATAACAGAAACGTGCTGTATTCCCTTAGTACCAGCCTTGTATACCTAATTCCATAAAGGCTGCTTTGGAAATGGGTCATTGGCGATAGACATTGGGCATTTGGGCATTTCGCAGGAATTCATTGCAATGATTTGCTTGAGTTGCAATTGACCAATACCCAAATCGACCTCTTTTGAATCAAGTATATGTGTTGTGGTTCAATTTTATCCTTGGTTTAAATTTTATTTTCCTTTGTTCTCGGGTTTGGTAATGTATGATTTTGAGTTTAAAACAAAGGAAAATAAAATTTGAACTAAGGATAAAACTGAACCACGACATATACTTCAAATTACTTTTGATAAGGCTCTTTAAGATCTTCTTCTATGGGCTATGTCAGGTGGAAATACGTTTCGTGATTTCTAGGTAAGTTCAAAGCAAACCAAAACAAAACTATGGTAATTTGTTTTTGAAGGTAAGAGAGAGGTTGGGGGCTCCTTTAATAATAATAATAAAAAAAAATACGATAATTGTTACCTTCATTGAGGTCCAGCCTCTTTCCTCAGTGTGATAACCACCGATCATATCCAATAATGATTTGCATTGAGAACTGAGATGGATCCTAAGAGCTGAAAAGAAAAGCATACTTAACAATCACCCGGTAGAAGCCACTACCCCTGTTATTGATCGTTACCCGGTAGAAGCCTCTACCCCTGTTATTGATCGTTACCCGGTAGAAGCCTCTACCCCTGTTATTGATCGTTACCCGGTAGAAGCCTCTACCCCTGTTATTGATCGTTACCCGGTAGAAGCCTCTACCCCTGTTATTGATCGTTACCCGGTAGAAGCCACTACCCCTGTTATTGATCGTTACCCGGTAGAAGCCTCTACCCCTGTTATTGATCGTTACCCGGTAGAAGCCACTACCCCTGTTATTGATCGTTGGGAAACCAAACACTGCACAGGTTTGAAGTCCGTCCTTCCCTTTTTTGTTGTAAACAGAAAGAAAGATGTTTAACCAACTGCCAAATAGCTGATAGCTGTTCTGTAGTTTTGCATATTTTTTAGTGGTTCGGGCGCCAATCCATTATATAAATTTGTTTCTTTAGACAAGAAATTATATCTAGAAATTTATGGGTCTTTCTGCAACAATGTCTTCACGTTTTTTAGCAGTCCGTGGCGGTACGGCTCTAGGATGAGAGCTAATTCATCAGTGGGGGAGGGTGGGGCGCGACAAGAAGAGTAAAAACACATTGCGCGGACACCTATTAAATTTCCGCGGATTATATAGGCTCTACTGCGAGACTATCTTGTTGCGGAGTCTCTCGCGGGAATAGTGGCGTAGCTACAAATAATGGAAGCTAAAAAAAAACGGTTGCCTGATTTGTCACAAAGACAATTACAATCAATGTTAGGTTCTTCCACAATCTCAAAATTGCGGTATGTTTAATAGAATAATAAACGTTTTCAATAATTTCTGTCACTTCAATGATAACTCACCAAGTCCACTAGACTCCATTCGGGAGGCTGTATTTACAGTATCACCAAATAAACAATACCGTGGCATCTTAAGACCCACAACTCCGGCCACACATGAACCTGACAGACAAATAATAACATAAATTGATTTTTTTGCCTATTTGTCCCTACGCAATTTGCAAACAAAAATGGCAGCCGGCAAGTTAATCAGGACGTATCAGAATTTAATTACGGAGCTACGAAGTCGCTTGCAAACGAAGATTATCAACTTTACAATGTAAAAGAAAGTAATCAAATTTGAGGTGTCGCCCGTTCGGGTTTCACGCTGTTGCCCTCAGTTGATCTTGTATTGTCAATAGCTCACCCTCGATACACTAAAATTCTAACACGACTCTAAGGCTTTCTGATTTGATTTGGTTTTTTTGTGCTCAAGTCTCTTCTGGGAATTGCTAGATGTGGAGTCGTAAAACAGTTGCAATTTTGTCCCCTAAAAGTGTCGGTGTCATGTTAGAATTTTAATATATCGAACGTGGAATATTGTTAGCATGAGGAAGAAGAGCTATTAATTTTTATATTGTTATATAATTGCCCAATCACGTGACTATATTTTATCATATGAATATCTTACGAATGGGTCTTAAATACCGTTGGTAAGCAATGATCGATAAAAGAAACTATTAGTAGATGATTTGTTTCCAGGTGTTTAAAAATCAAAAGGAATAACTCGCGCGCGTTACTGAGATATTACGTCAAACCTATTTAACCTAACTTACCTGAATGCAACCCAATTCGTAGCTGTAGCTGTTTCTGTGGTTGATGTTTGATTTTAAAATTACACATGTCACTTAACAGATCTAAAGACATATTTGCTATCTCTCCTGCATGTTTGATACCATTTCGGTTTGGCAGACCAGACACCACCATGTAAGAATCACCAATTGTCTCAACCTAAGAAGAATACAAAGAAACGTAAAAGTATAATTTATTTTTATTTCAGCAACCGTTAATCTTTTATGACTGACAAGATATTAACAACATTTATGTTGACAGTAGAGTTGCCATCACTGTAACGCGAGAAATGACAATCACTAATTTCTAATACATGTATTGTAACGACGAAATTGTGAACAAGTAAAACATTTTACCTTGATAAAACACTGAAGTGACGCAGATATGTATAGAAGCGCGAGCATTGCGCGGGCATTCCAATAATAACTTAACAATCTAGAATTCAGGATCATTTATGATTACCTTGTAAACGTCATGACAGTCAATGATGTTATCAAAGCAGGTATAAAGATCATTTAGTAAATTTACGATCTGTGAAGAAAAAAAGTTTTCTCTCAATACATTTTATCAACAATTCATCATTAACACCACTTTAGTGCTATGTGTTGTACGAAAACTAGCCTCATTTAGTTCTGTCACTTTACTGTTTAAAAAATGTTTCTCATGAACTTTACTTGTCAGTTATTAAGGTCTCGCTCCTACGTGGCACCTCGTAAAAAGACATGAAAAGAAAAGGCAGAGTGAACTTATTAACTCAGAATTTCCAAAAAAAAATAAAAAGCCGCTGCTTTCGCGTCGCTTAAAACTCTTCCCTAGCTTAATCAAAGGACTAGGAGGGTTTGCCTTGAGAAAATAAAGCCAACATTTCTGTTTAACTAGTCCCTGGTTTAGATGGTGAGTTACCTCCATTGGTTTACTATCAGAGGCCAGTGAAGTAAAGCCGACGATATCACTGAAGAATATGGTGACCTGATCAAAAGTTTCTGCTGTCACTGGTTCACCGCGTTTTAACTGCTCTGCTACACTCCTGCATAGGATCGATAATAATTTCAAATTACTAATAATCTAAATTACTTAATCTACTGAAGATAGAGAACGCAGCTTACCAGTATGATCAGTTAACAAGTCATATTGTCGATACATATGCTGTATATGTTGTTGCTATTTCAAGTCAAAATATTTTTTTTGCTGTGATTTAAGATCGCGAGCTTAAATTTCGAGAGGATTTATTTTTGGCGATTTTTTTGCAATCGCGAAAAACGCGAAATTAAAGACCCGCGAAATTGAGTACCAATAAGGTAATCACTGAAAAAGGTGACTTGGTAAATAATTTAAGGGAGTTTTGGCGCGTTAGAAGATTTGAAACAACAGACTCTTTCTTTAGTTTTGAATCTCAGTCCAAATGTCATGAATTACAAACCAAAAGTTATAACAACATTAGAGCCAAGCCCTCAAAGGTAACAACAAAGTATATTGAAACACGAAAGCTATGATATCATTATTAGCCAAAAATCCTCACTTTGGTAACATTCTGTATAACAAAGCGTCGGTTTTTAGCTTTTCCTCCTCGAGTTGTTGTGTTCTTTCAAGTACTGTTTCTTCCAGATGATCTGTGTATTTTTCCATCATTGCAATCATATTGTCCATGATGTTGATCTCTCTGTCAGTAGAAACAAAAACAACATGAATTGCGCAATATATTCTTAAAAGCAAACATCCCCCTTATATCGTCTTTTATTGGTACAAAAATCCAACTTAAAATCCAAAAATCCAAAAATCCAATTCCGATGCTTGATTTTGAAAAACCCTGAAAAACTTGTAAGGCATGTATTGGCGGTGTGATTTGTCTGATCTTTTACGTTCCTACTACCCTCTCTTAGGCCCCATTTTTATGGAAAAAAAGTTGAGAATAAAGTTGTCATGACTTCTTTACCTGAGCCAAAAGCTGACAACAGCGCTCTCGCATGCTTTGATTTGTCTTGCTTTGACCGAGTTGAGCCGACTGGGCGAGCCAAAGTGTTTATGTCTGGAAAAGTTGTCGGTCTAAGAGGGTGACCCGGCTAGGTGGGTCGCCCCTTTTCGCCGATCAGGCAAAGTTTTGTTTCTCGATGATGTAAACGGCTCACTAAGATTTGTAAGGAAAATTGACTGCAAAGGACCGTAAACGAATATGCCGCAGAACTTTGAATCTACCGGAGAAGACCTGAAGGGCAATAATATACAAAGTAGACACACTGAATTCTGCAAAGCTGATCGTACCTCGTGAAAATTAACTTTGCAAGACATCAACACGACACCGAAAGAACCCAAAACAGAAAACACGATAATGGCGAAACAGCTGTCTACGGCTACAACCTGCGCTGGATCCGTTTTGGATTCTTTCAGTGTCGTGTTGATGTCTTGCAAAGTTAATTTTCACGTAGTACGATCAGCTTTGCAGAATTCAATGTGTCTACTTTGTAAGGAAATGAAGGAAAAGTTGGCTCACCCAGGGTAGCTGGGGGAGGCGAGTGATTCTTCTTAACCCAAGCCAAGCAAACGTCTGTAATAAGCATCTTACTAACTTCTCCCCTCTTACCACAATGAACTTACTTTCCATTATTTATTTTCTTGATTGTTTGAAGAATGTCACTAAATTTCGGCCTAATAACTGGATCTTCATCCCAACAAGACCGCATCATTCTCACAAAGAAGCTATCATTATAACTGTTTGGTATAACGGGACGGAATGGAGGATTCTCTCTCCCCTGCACTCTGACAACAATTGCTGCAGACAAAAATTTGAAAATTTCATCAACAAGGAAAGTCTTAATGCCGTGTGTCTGATTAAAACCCTCTGTAAAGGGGAACCTTTCTTAGGCGGATAGCACATACTTAACGAGAAACTCTCTGGTTAAAACATACGAAAAGAAGGTAATTAAATTGTCTTGTTTATTTGGAAAATGTCCTCGTAGCCAAAGAAACCGTATGAAGGTAAAAGAAGATATTTAGAAATTGTTTTAAGATCCCTCTCCTCTAGAGGTACTGGACAAAGATTTAGACCGGGGAGAAAGGGGGGGGGGGGGGGGGGAAGGGGCTTCGTCCCGAAATTTACTATTCTTGACTGAAAAGACATCCTCTTGAGAATAGCTTCTATTTAAAAATGGTATCCTCCCTTTTCCTATCTACTTACGCACACTGCACCCCTTTTCTCAATCCTTTGAATAAAGTTGATGAACCAATTAGCGGAAGGAAATAAGTAATTACAAAGATACTACCACAGGGTGCACCTGTTTGAAATATTTTACTGACGGCTCTTTAAACACCTGGGCGACAGATTTCCTAGCCTGTAAACTTGTGCATTATGGGGAGGGCCTCTTCGGGGCACATTTTCGTACTTTTACTCACATCTTAAGGTTTCTAATCTCCTCCTATGGGGAGATCTCTTAAAAGAGGAAGAAAAAATATGATTTAAATTTTTATTTCAGCAGCCGTTTCATTGATATAGCTAAATACTAACTATTAAAAAGGTAATGTTAAGGACGTACTCTTCGCGTCCATAACGTCGTTTTTGCAATATGGAAGATCTCTTAGTAGAATCTCCTGTGCTATAATGCCATAACTGTATACATCTCCTTGTTGTGACTTGGATGCACTGTTTACTCCTTCTAAATGCTCTGGTGCACGCCATAACAGACCTGCAATGTTTTATATAATTCATACTGATAAATATAAAAAAAGATGTTGTTCACCGTGAAATGTTTATGTCGTTTTACTAAAGACAGTCACTTTGTTATTGATCGCGACGTTTCGACCGCACAGTGCTAGTCTTTATCAGGCGATGGTATCAATAAGCTACTGATTACCTTGAGTGAGTTTTGTAATGCACCAATCGTAAGCAACCACGGTGCAACCAATAGTCCTGCACATCAAATCGACCACGGAAAAGTACAGCGAATCCTCGCGTTATTTTACTCGTGTAAAGATGTTAAGGCTAGAGATATTGAATATGGATGGTTCCTGGTATTTACCATTATATTCTGCGTCAATTCCAATACTTGGATCAGACTTCTGTCCTCCTTTAAACTTCTCGAGTCCAATATCACTTATTTTACAAACCCACCGGCTGTCTATTAGACAGTTAGAGGACTTTAAGTCTCCATGGCAACCTATGGTGCTTTTGTGCAGAAAACTCATGCCCTAAAGAGATTTCAAAAACAAATTGTAAATCAAGAGGCTTTTCAAGAAAAAGGTCTAGCCTTTTTAATGAGGACCTGCTTGAGTCACAAGCCACCGTTTCCCTTATTTGACGCGTTTCATATACACAAAAAACACAGGTTGTATGGGTCAAGCTTTTTTTTCGATTGATTGAGTGTATTGCCCCTCTCTACGTGGCAAAATTGCCGGGATGTATATATTAAGGCTTTGCCTTAAATATAATGAAAAAACAATTTAACGAATTTCTCACAAATTTTTGATGAACTCAAATGTTTCGCCCCTGTTTTGTCCACTATTTTACAAGAACAAAGCTTTAAAAGAAACCTGAAAAAAACGTTGTAGATAAAAAACCAACGTAAAACCAATATAAAACAATGAAGTGTAAGTTCTGACACGTTTAAGTTAAAGTTAATTGGTGTTAACATGCAACAAGCTTTGTGCATAGTTTCTTACTCTTGCGATATCCGAAGCAAATGATATTTGAAACATCCAATCCAACTTCATCTTCTCATTGTTTAAAACATCCTAAATGTGGAAAAAAGACAACTCTTTAGTGAGACCAAAAAGTATATATAGATAGATGTCGCTTCATGTTGTCGCAATTTTTTTTTGCTCAACTGATAACATCTCAAGCTTGACTTTCAAAACTAAAAAATTAGAGGAAGAAACTATTAAGAAAGCAAACTTTTCATTTTATTCATTAGTCATTACGTCTGAGCATGCGCATAAAACTAATCTTAGCTTTGTAGTCATAAAGTAATGCATTAGTCACCTGTAGGCTTCCTTTGTTACAGTACTGCGTTAGTACCCATATATTTGGCGAATCTACGCATGCGCCAATGAAACGATTGATATTTGCATGTTGTAGGTCAAATACCTAAGACAATAAAACAATAGAAAGTTGGAACAAGAAAATCTACCTTTAAGTTATGTTCACACTAGGACTATACCTGATGGTTTTTGCACTACCACGAAAATCCTACCGGATAGAACTTCTGTCCACATACAAGAACGGAGATTTCAGCGCAGTTTCTGCGACGAAATGAAGTCGCGCCGCGCCGTGCCGATCTTGTAAGTGGAGTGTCACATGTGGGATCGATTTTGATCCATTCTTTGGTGCAATGTGAACACAAATTTGCATCGCCGTGGAAGCAACTAAGTGGGAAATAAGTAAATAAGTGGGAGAGAGCACTGGATTACTGTGACGGAAGTAAATATTTAGGAGTGAGGACTAGAATTTAGTGCACCAAACCCCCTCGGTCAACTGCGCCGGCACGATGTTTGATGTGTGCATAGTTAGTAGAGGGGAGGGGGGCTACTAAAATCTTTCCTGTAGTGCTTCAACTTCGTCAAGAATGTTTTAAATCGCCTCTTGCATCCGCCATCTTTGAGAGTGTGTTTGAGTTTGTGCACCATCGCAATCACGTGACAGATACGATCAAAATCAGAGACGACTCTATTGTTTCGCTCTTCAAAGCTTGCGGACTCTCATAACCAGTCCAATCTACTATGGCGTGTGTGAATGACTTGTGCCGCCCCATGGCCAATGCTGTTCACAATATACCAGGAGCGTTTTTGTGTCGGTATAGTTTGAACATAGTCTTAGCTGGATACGGAAGAGCGTACCGGTAGTTGAATCAAATTGTCACATTTCATTTTACAGCATATATTTAAGTCTGTTGTCAAGAATAAACAAACACGATTTCTTGTATTGGAAAAATTTATCACTTATTTGACTCCTGAGAAACCAGGTGACATCGCTTTTATCCCCTCAGTCCTTAAGCGGGTGCAAAGATGGCGGGCATCGTGAATAAGGTCTATTTGTTAGATATCCTTAGAGAGGGATATTTGATTTATTTCCCGCTAAATATGCATTTCTGCAATCTCATTGGGGGTATCGTTGGCTCATTTAACTTACTTCCTTTAATTCCATAAGAATTTCTCTTGAAAGGCTTATGTGTGTTTTCCTCAGCTTCTTAACCGCCACAACAATAGACTGTGAAAACAAAGTCAAAGAAATGATTACCAAGGTCTAAAAAGATTACCCATAGTGGTGAGCTGGGCCTGCAGCAATGTAATGTCTAGGCAATGATTATGAGATTAATAAGTAAACAGTGTTTTAACAAGACTACAAACCACAACGAAACGCAATTGCCTCTCTGTCAAAAATGTTGCAAAGTTTCTATAATGTTAATGCTGAAACTGGGGAACACTAATAAAACTTTTGGTAATTTTTTTATTATATAATAGATTTATCAGTTAGTTTAAGTCTTCAGTTGCACTTATACAGGTGATGAGAAAACGGGTTAGTTTTCAAGCTCGCAAGAACGAAAACACACCAAAATTTGCTAACATCAAAACATGATATTAAGCAGCATTTTGACGCTACTTAAGAATAATTTGAGTAATCTATAACGTTTTTAGTAACTAATCTAACACGTCTATTGAAAATTTAAGGTTCGCAATAGATTTTCATTTCAGTCGAATAAGGAGATTGTTTGCTAAACACCAAACTTTAAGTTCCTAGTGTTGGATTTTCAGAGGTTGGTCTAGATCAAACAAAATTCGGCTTTTATCAATTTCAAAGTTTTTGTTTATTGTTGTCATAGTAATATCGATTTTACTTAAAACTTCATTTTCACAAATTCCAATCCATAGCCAATTACTGGTGAAAATTTTATAGCGATCGGACAAGGAAAAAACCACTTTTAATGCGATTGAAAAATATCGATATGGCCCCTGGAAAACTGTATCGAAACACCTTAAGAAGTAACAAAGTAACAAACCTTATAGACTGCCACACAAGTGAATATTTGTCCTCTAAAATCATCAAAGTCAGCACTAGTTCGACTATTCTGTCGTGAAATCATGCTACCTTCGGCAGAACTTCCACCATACATGCTTGAAATCTGAACAATAAATATATACTTTGTTACTTCTCTAACTTTTTTGTCATAGGACGCTCACCTACTGCTTCTTTACAGTTAGAATAATGACCGTTATTGTCACTATCATCATTCTAATCATCATTATCTCGCATCATTACTGTTGTTGTAACATCAGCATTTATAGATGTCAGCTAAAGACATTTTATTTCTAAGGTCCCCCTTAAACGAAATGAAAGGCTGATGATCAAAAATCCATTTTAAGGCGGCCAAAAATACGTCGATAACTCCAGAGTTTTCTTCAATCATCGTTTAAGTCAAGTCTAAACAAACAGTCTATTTTGCCTCTTGTGTCTTTATTTATCGTAATTTTAATATTCATAAATTCTGTGGATAGAGCGGCTGACACGTATCGTGGATGACATGGGTTTGAAGCCCACTGGGTAATCAGACTGCTTTTTGCGCTCCACATTTCTGATATGACGAATGTTACATGTTTCTCTCCAGTCGTGATTCAAATAATAACATAAGCTTCATTTTTTTTCGGGCGGTACACAGTGGTGACATTTTGTTTGTTTTCTTACTATACTTCGGGTATCCAAAGGTCTCCTTGTAAACCTCACTTCTGGTGACAAAACTTTCCACTGCTGGCTCAAAAGTGATGCCCGGAACGCTTTTCTCCTAAATTGAAAAAATAGAATAATCAATGCATTTATTTTCACCATTTTTTATTGCGAAATTATACAATGGCGATACTTAATTTTGAGACTGTGACGTCAATAAAATGGCCGCTTTTATCTCACATTTCTTGGTGCATATAATTTACTATTTGCACATCTTTGATTTCTCTTACAGTCGTCCCAAGAAAAATTGACAGACAGTGCTTATCCAAAACTTCGGTGGGAGGGGAAATCAAGGTGTAGTATGGGAGATATGCAACTGGCGAATAGGAATAACAGTTAAACATGCAGTCCTTTGTGGTTAATGTTTGTAGTTAACCATCGTTCAACGCTTTTTGCAAGAGAAAATGTAGCATCTAGTTTTCAAAGAATTTTTTATCATCCAACGTCTCGCATGATGAATGACCCATATTAAACGTGGCATGGCACTCATTTGATAACCTGAGCTGCAATATTTGGTGATTAAAAATTTTGTTCCGAACTAATCATGTGTCGTCCTTCGAGCCGTAAATATTTGAGAAAAGACTATATATAATTACCAATCCAAACTTGTGTCTTTAACCGAAGTGAAATGGTCCTGGCACATGAGTACAATAGGACAACTGGGACCAGCCACATGAAACCTAACCTCAGATGCAAATGCTAACGTCTCGAGCAAAACAAAGAGTTTGACTGAACTGGACGTCGAATATTATCTGTTACGTCCGACAATTATTGTGTAACTAGCCCCTGGGTCGTTGTACAGCTGTATTAGCATCCCCCTCTTTAATCACTTACTTGTAATAAAAGAGAAGAGCAAGTAAAAGAATTGTTATTCCCAGAAATCCTGACGTAATGTACACTGCAATCTTCCAAATTTCTGGCAAAAATAACAAATGTACAATTTGAGAATTGAGCATGATGGTAAAAACTTCCAGGATGTGCCCTGTTCATTAAAAATTCAACTTATATTCAAGGAAACTCGAATTCAAGCTCCACCCTAACATTGTTTAAGCTAAAGTTACGGTGGCATTAGCATTCATTGCATTATGATGTTTACAAATATGCTTCAAGTAAAATATTTTGTTTTTTTTAGAGTTTAAGTGGTCCATAACTCACGGCACATGAGATTGTAACAAAACCTTTGTGTATTCTTGCTACGAAATACGATCAATCGAACACACCCTAACTCCACTAATCCATTAAATAATATTGCACCTACCTGGAGGAGGGCAAAACTCCCCGTTGAATCCACATTCGGGTCTTCCCAGTGGAGCAACTACACTTCCACCAGGCCAATAAGTTGTTACATTCAAAATTTCCAGTTTTTCCGTGCGACGAAAGTAGCTAGCCATATGAAACAGTTTACCATTGTGAAAGTTTTTCATTTGGAGACTCAATGATCTGTCACCATTTTCATCAATGAAGACCGGCCCAGAAATTCCTGCAAGTTGTAAGATAAACAATAAATTTTGTCGCATTCAGATTCTCATTACACCCTTTAAGACTTTGTGCCATTTAATCTTGACGGTTTTTTTCGAAATTGTCAGAAGGCAGCCGGCTGGCACCATCTTGAACAGGTCTTCCATTGACTTTCCGCGTAACAAAGAAAAAAAATGAACGTCGCTACCGGTGGCCGGTTATACTGTGGCGTACGCGGCTATTGTAACGATGAGATTTTACAAACCTTCGAAACTTCTGTTTGTTAAATGCGCCATAAGTGCTCTCCCATCCGTGAAATTCCCTCCTTTTTGTAGAATTTCATGGACTGCAAGTGCGTACAGCACGACAGCATCGTGCAGAAAGCCAGCAAAAATGTCGACCTAAAAGTCAGCAAAAAGAGTGGCATATTTAACAGTGGACGAATGACAAACACTGATAGAAATCAAGAGTGCGCCTTCTAAGAGTTTTGGTTAACTCTGCTAACATTCTCACAAAAAAAAGAGCGAATCACTTATCAAGCAGCTTAAAAATGACTTCGCCTTTTCGATTAGAAGCAATAATCACTTAAAAGCAGAAGTTAGAGGCAGTGCTTTTATTGATAATCTCGGACTGTTCTGAAGGGTGAAGGTATTACTCACTCCCCGCCCTTACCTGATTTTGTTTTCTCTTTTGTACGTGTGGAGCGAATTTCCAGCATGTCGATGCATGAGTAGCTCGCCATAATTGAAAGTGTTTTGGAGCTGCTGTCTTTTTATCCTCTGATCAGTATTCAGAATTGAGATGATTTGAATAGCCAAATCAAAGCGTTCCCTGATGCTATGATGAGTTTTAGTTTTTTTTTTGAAAAAATTTCTCCCTAGAATCGTCAGAAAAAAGGGTCTACGAAAATGAGAAGAAAAAATGTATGCAGATCTTTATTGCCTGGGCAGACGGATAGGTGGACTTTTGATTCCAGTTTCGTCAGATGGTCGGCTATGCCATGCTATACGAAGTCAAAACAGATCCATGGCTGTTGCTTCTCGGTTGATGCTGCTAAGCGCATGCGTAACATAAAAATCGCGGAGTTGTCTAGTGTGGTCATTGTTTTCAGTTGATTTACTTTTAAAACCCGAACTTTGGATCAAACCCAGGCTACGCAGTGCGAATATGATGTTCTCTCTTTTTTTTTCTTTCCCTCCTTTTTGTTTGTTGAGAAGGGCACAGTTTTGTTTTAAAGCAACAGCTACGCTCAACAGACAATGAGATTCTCTCCCGCTACGCTATGTTACAGGGATAGAAAGCAACCTTTGCTACTATAGGCTACCGCTCTATTCTCTTGTTAAGTGAAAGCAAAGAAATTAAGACTAACTTACCTCCTCATCTGGGGGCATATGATATCCAAGTCCCGCAAACAGGGGCATTTTTTGTCGAACTTTTTTCTCGAAGGCCTTATATTCTGGGGTAGCAGGAATGTAGTTGGAAATGTCCATGATGCCCTCAAACGCTTCACATGCATCTTTATCCCTTCCGTCATTCCCTTTGCAGCTGTCAATAGTTATATCAAACGTAAAATAGGCGAACCCTGTGGTTACCATTCCCAAGTCGTACAAGTTGAGCATCATTTGCCTTACGGAAGTTCCATAACCCAGGAGAATAAACACTAAGAAGTGGATGTAGAGAGCATAATTAGTAATTATTGGATGAGGGTGAGCATGATGTGAATAACTATGCAGATCAAGAAGGCTATTTCCGCCTAAGGGCCTGTTTACATGGCGGTGGGGGACCCCAAGTAGGGGAGGTAACCCACTTTGGAGGGGTAAAAAAATAACGTTCCTTTACAAGCAATCATACAACCCCTCCATCCCAGGGTGCACTTTCTCAAGATTATTGAAAGGTCGCTAAGCACGTAACAAGAAAAAATGCTGGCACAGCACTTGTTTGGGCGATTAATGCTCCTCTACAATCATTTGTTGCTCTTGCTGCAACCTTCAGTACTGTGGCTTTATATTGTTACCTTTAATAATGATGCAAAGCCACCAAAGTGAATTTTGCCCGAATTTGATGTATCACGAATTCGACCCCGGCTACGCGGGTTACCCCACCTTTAAACGTTCACATGGCAAAATTTGACACTCCCTTGAGAGGGTTACCCAGTCTGGCAGACTGCGCTACCCGCCTTGGCGGGTCACTCCGCCTATTATGTAAATGTGATCAAATTAAGATGAGAGGTTACATGGACAGGTGCGTTACCTCACCTAGCTGAGGACCCCACCTCCATGTACACAGGCCCTAAGACGGACACAAACTACGAGATTTGCATAATTATTCAAATCATATAACGAAAGCTGAATACAAAAAATGTTTTATTGCACAATGTGCTAACCTTTAAATAAATTGTTTTAAAAACATATGCCTCTTTCGGGGCAGTTTCATAAAAACGAACGAATGTGTTTCATTTCGTGTTGTCTGTTTCTTGCGGTCTGCTATCGTTTTGAGGATGTAATTCAGCTATATTGCATCCGCAAAGCGTGCGAAATTTTCCGCCATTTTCTCAAGCACTGTACGGACACAACAGCCGAGACCCTCTTTGCATGATGTCAGTAATCAGGTATTTTTCTTATCATCCGAAGATTGATCTATCCTCGAATAGGTGATGTCACACAAGGTTGAAAAAGACCGAAAAACGACAAGTTAACAACGAAAAAAGCAAAGGTGAAAATAGACAAGTGCGCTGTATTTATTTAAAGTAAAACCAACTCTTTTGTGTTCAGATTAACTTGTTAAGGTTGTCTGTGAATAAGTAAGTCTTCTCTCCATTTTCAACGTATACGCGTTTGAAAATTAACCTTCGCAGCTTGCTAAATTACACTAAAAATAGCCTGAAATCTTTCCTTTGCCAAGTTAAAAAGGAAAAAAAACTGACAAAAGTGAAAATAGACAAGTGCGCTTTATTTATTTAAACTAAAACCAACTCCAGTTGTATTCAGATTAACTTGTTAAGGTTGTCTGTGAATAAGTAAGTCTTCTATCCATTTTCAATGTATACGCATTTGAAAATAAACCTTCGTAGCTTGCTAAATTACACTAAAAATAGCCTGAAATTTTTCCTTTGCCAAGTTAAAAAGGGAAAAAACAAAAGTGAAAATAGACAAGTGAGCCATATTTATTTAAACTAAAACCAACTCTTTTGTATTCAAATTAAGTTGTTAAGATTGTTGATTAATTAGTAAGTCTTCTACCCATTTTCAATTTATACGCCTGTCAGGAAGCATTAATCCCCGTAACTTGCTAAATTGTATACACTAAAAATAACTACAATTTTTTTCCTGTGCCAATTAAAACCTTAATGATTCCTTTCAATAGTATTATGTAAATGTTTTGCACTAAAGAGGAGTAGTGAAGCCAATTATCTTAAAATATTCTTCTCGCGTTCCATAAACAACTCCGGTTTTAAATTTTCAAGCACGTTTACAGTAGAGAGCAAGAATTTTTTCCTTTCAGTTTATACACGTACTGTCATGGAACTTTTTCTTTTTATTTAACTTTCATCCCCATTGAATTCGGAAAAAACAAAAGAGAGCAGATCAATTGAGAAAGCATCGCTTACTTAAAGCAACTCCAGGCTTTTAATAGAAACCTAACATGTGAAAACTCATTTATGGCTTATTTTGCATTTAAGAAGTGAATTCTTTAATATAGGTACCCATCTTGAAGGCTATATTAGGCCGAGGGTCTGAACTGGAACCTTTTTCACGTCTCGAATTACTTTTGGCTCATATTCTGAGGGGCTTCTTTTCGAAATTTTAGGGCATTTCTGTCTCAAAATATATAATTATGCACCGACGTTTGCTTTCCGTCGCTATTACCAGCCTTTGTTTATTTAATTCGCTATCAGATTTAATAATACGTGTCAATAAAAACGACAAAAGTTTAAATTGCTTTTGGCAAACGCGGAGTTTGGCACGAAATTACGTCCGGTAAATGTCAATGGTTCAAATTATACAACTCGGCTGGAGTGGTTTTAAAACACGACATTTGGTGAAAGGCTGTTTTCCAGGTTTTCAAAGATAGATGTTGTTTCGTTGGGACAGTAGCGAATCTATTTGTAGTTTTGGGGATTATTTTTTGATTAAGTCATTTGCCTAAAAAATAAATATTTTGCTACTAAATTTATCGAATGAAAACACTTCAATGCATAATTTTAGGTCATTCGAGTGTTCCCGTTTTCAAGTGTTCCCACATGCGGTCCGGTACCCTATAGTTCATTTGATTAGGCGCCCCTTGATTTTGGTATTGAAACAAAGTAGGCACTTTGATCACATAGAGAGTTTTCCTGGTGTGGGACTTCCTTTCGAAGTCACTAGGTGACTAGATGTTACCTTCCATACAGAATACCGAATGTAAAGTTACATTCGCCGTCTGTTCGAAAATCAATGATCCAAAGACGTCCGGGAGAAGTGTTCATTTATTAAAAAAAAAAAAGCCGGACTGAAATTTTTGGTCAAATTAATTTTTCTTTTCAGCAATAATTGAGATAAATAATATTAAATTTTCTTGTTAAAGCATAAATAAGATTTCCATGGTGGACGCATGAAACCGTAATTGTAGTAATTAATCTCTGTCACGGAAATCATGGAAAAATCGACACCACAACCACGATCTTTTTTTAAATGCTGTGCATTGACAAGGGGTTAGCAAAAAAATTTCCTGTTTAAAGTGGATTTAAGACTTAAAAATGATGACAATTTTAATAGCTGTAGCTTTGAAATATTTTTTTGTCCTTTATGCATAATGATACAAAGCGACAAAACATTAGGAACATATTCAAATGACTCATTACCAAACAGTGCCGCGAAAATGACTTTGTTTATGTTTTTCTTTTTGTCACCGCAAAATTCAGGTTATTTTCGTGATATTAATCCAGTTAGAATATTAAACTTTGAACCATTTGATAGGAAAATTTCTTACTTACCATGGGCCACTTCTCTTGCGGAACGAAACATGCCCTTTAGTTGTTCATCTGTTGTAATGCCTGGGCTAAATACATGAAAATATGACACCGAAAATCCACCACCTTTGACATCGTCGATTTCTTCCTTTATAAAACTAGCAGTTTGCGACCAAATACTCTCTGTGGAGGACACAATGGCAACTTGGGTCCAGTTATAAATTTTCATGATTTCGAGGAAAAACTTTCCAGTTTCTACGTACGTACCAACCGTTCGAACAAACGTAGGATACTTAAGTTTGTTTGATAAAGTGGACTCACCACAACCGAAAGAAATCATAGGATTATTCCAGTGCGCTGCCAGAAAACCTCCCGGCAAACAGCCAATGGAACATGCCGGTCCAATGTAAGCGTGTATATTTGGTATTTTTGCTTGCAAGTCAGCCATTGCTCTTAGGGTGGCTCCAGTGCTGCATTCACTATCCTTCCATTCGTACGTTAAGTTATAATCTGGAAGAAGGTTCATTTTGTATTTAATCGTGTCGAAAGCGACAAGCAAAGCGGAAGCCATTCTTGGTCCAACTTGCCACGTTCCGTTCCATGGAATCAAGGCTCCAATTCTTATTTCTTGCCCCAATGTTGACGGCCGAAAAAACAGAAAATAGAGTGCTGTCAACAGCAAAATAACCAGACGACTCGCTGTCATGTCCACAAATGATAAACAATGATTTATCCAAGGTGTAAGCTGCTGTTGGCTGGGACGATGTCTACGATGTTTGTCTCAAGACCACGTTCACCGACTGGTAATCGATCCATCAGTTGTTTTACTAACCTGTGTGACACAGTCATATTCCCTGTCCATATGATTTGTTTTGGTCGCTAACCACTTTCAAAGAAAACATTATTTTGGAAGTAGTAATTTCGGAAACTTACTTAAGGCAAGAAGTAGCTAATGATTAAAACAATTATTGCAGCTGTTTAAACAGATAGCTGTAATCCAATATAAAATATTAGAATACAGCTATCGCGCATGGCATTAGTCATTCGTTTGTCGTATGAGATGAATATTGCTCGAAATTATTCAAATTAATGTCAGATAATTTAAATTCAAATCAAAGGATGCTCTTTCTGTACCTAAATTTAGCTTATCAATGAACAAAGAATATCAATTAACAACAATGAGAAGTTTTGTTGTCTGTTCCGTTAAAAAATTGGAGAAAACAGGCTGAAAACAAACTAAAGATCAGTGGGTCGACTCACCTAACCCTTACAAAATACCTTAATAGTCAAAACATATCATTGACGCAATATTTTGCCAGAGGCAATTTTAAACAATAATTGCTTAAGATAATGGAAGTAAAACTCTCGATATTGATGAACTTGACTTCACACAAATTAAAGAAGTCGCGATACTCTTTTGTTTTATGTGATCTTAGTCAAATTTTACGTATACAGCCGGAGGCAAAGGTGAACGTTCGGCTATAAAACCTGCCCTGGTGATGGATATGTTGTGGCTTTGTTGCGAAAACGAAGAAATGACCCCGAAGAAAAGACCGAAGACCGAAAACGAAGACCCCGTCGGTTATGGTTTCCACGGTATTTGTTTGTCAAAAAAGACCCGAAAAGAAGACTCCTGATTTATTTCCTTTAATTCTACGTCATCTTAGTTTCTCCAGAAACATCCAGCTCCGTTGTTACTTTTCCAGATATTCATAAGGCATGTAATCAAAAACACTTGTCATTTCTTCCCATCTCCCAATAACTAGAACTACGTAGCAGTTGTAGGAACCGCATGAACTTTTGTTGCCGAAATTTTTGTTTCCTTCTGAAATTCTAAAACGGCCTTTATTGTATGAAGTCTTGAATGTCCACAATCTGCCAACGAAGTTGAAAATTTAACGGTAATAATGGGCTACAGTGGTTTGTCAAGTCGATCCTTCAGTAAACTTGAAGGATTTAAGAAAGTTGCAACTAAAGTGAGTGGTCAAGAGTTTCTGTGTATAAGAGCTAAACTGATTACTGAACATTTCGAGACTCGAACTAGCGAAAAATTAAGAAGTGCGAGACTCAGTTAAAGTGATCTGGATCTTAAAATAGGAGCGCGGCAAACAAAGTGATTTTAGTTGAACAGTAAAACAGATACTAACAAACAGTGCAAAATAGCGAGACGTAAACAAGATAATACAATGGAATTGGTGCATAGTAGTGCGTAGTATTCTACTACCGTAGCTATTTCACGGTTCAAGTAAAATCACTTATCTTTGTTTAGAATACGTACTTTATCACGTGTAGGAACATTATAAAGGGAGCTAAATATTTGTTTAGAAAAAGATGCAAAGTCCTTGAAAAAAAAGGGAAGGGTCTTCGTTTTCGGGTTTTTGTACTCGGGTCTTCATTTTCAGGGGTTTTGTTATACATAGTTACAAAACGATTTTGTATTGTCCCTTTTGTATTGTCAGATCGAATAATTGCAATATCACCTTAATAAACAACAATCAAATGATACGATTTGTGGTGGATCAGTTCATCGACAGTACTTTCTACGCGGAACAGAAACAACCAACGTTTTGGTTCAGTTTTACCCTGGATTTGAATTTTATTTTGCTTGGTTTTGTTTTTTAGGAATTCCTTAACATACATTACCATTCTCAGAGACAAAGGAAAATGAAATATAAACCAGTGAACAAATCATAATACAAATCGCAACAAATACGGCCATTGCCGTGGAAACATGCCTTATAAAAGTTCAGTTGTCTTAACGAGTTTTACTTCAATTGTTTACTGTTAGGTTTTTAATTTTCGATGCATTGGCGCTTTGGGCATGAAAAAATACAGACACTGAAATGTATGAAAAACAAACAAACAAACAATATAAGAGAATTCTAGAACAGCAAGTTCGTCTATCAGAAGGATCTCCTGCTGTGTGTCTCTCCTGCTACTTGTCACTTAAGTTAACAATTCGAAATTCACCACAGAACCTAAGTTTTTGAATGGAATTCCTATAGAAAGATGCTGATTTTCGCTGCATTCAAGGGATCATGAACTATCACAGTTTAAGGTATTGGTATGCAACATAAATAGTAACTAATTCACATTCGCATAAAAGCCACCTTATGCCTTTTGATGGATAAGTTATGGGTGAAAAATTTTGCATAAGGCATAGGGTGGGCTGATAGAGAAAATTTGCCAGCGCCGCTGAAGGGGAGGAGGGTGGGGAAACTTGCTTGCCCGTTGTAGAGTAGACTTGCGAGAAGACGGCGAATTTGTTTGCTAGGGCGTATAAAAGGCCTAGGGAATTTCCCTGGGGACCGTAAAGGACCAATAGACTGCTTCCCGAGGGAGCACGCAGTAATCTAGTTGATTAAATCGTCACGCGGCGGCTTCTATACGAATGAGAATAATACAAAAATAATCTTACGGCAACCTCGATCCCAGGTTTCTCTCCTACTGGGGACTGGTAGGAGAGAACCCTGGGAATGAGGATGGTCTTGCAGATGACCAGTCCAGAGCATTTCCACTTTTGGAGATGTGTGACACATTAGCATGACTTCACAGTGCCAAATTCCAGAGATCGACCCGCTTTATCGCTATTTAGTCCATGGAAATGGATATTAAAGAGATATCTCTCTCAGTTTCCAGCAAACGGTTCATCCCAGCGAGTAATGAAAAGGTTCATAAATTTTTTTCATATCTGATTGTTTTTTTTTTCACCACGTATGCTTGACTACTATTGACCGTCAAACAGAAATTTCATGAAATGACAAGCCTCTTGTTACGTGACTCCAAATTTGCACCGTGACTGGCAAATTGCGGATCAAAACATTTCCAAAAGTAGAAATGCTGTGGACTGACTGATAAGTAGTTGGCCAGAATTAAGTCCACTCCCGTAAAAAAAGGTTTCATTGTTATTAAAGGCAGAATAGGCCATTTGCACGATGGCGTCGTTTAACTACTACGACCAGAATCCTTTACGTTTTTCCTTTCATATTTTAATTTGGTAATCCCAGAGAAGTTTCAATAACAAAACCGCTAATTTAAAGTAAAACCCTGAAGGATTCTGGTCATAATAGTAAAATGACGTCATAATGCAAATGGCCTATTAGGCAAAGTCCACTTCTCAGGGACTTGTTAAAAACGACTTGAAAGGTAGTTGATGCAAAAAAAATCTAATGCGGCGTGGCGGTTTGAAAAACATTTTTCATCGATTATAGAAAAGTATCTTTGAAAAAGGCGCCAATGGGAATCGAACCCACGACCTCCTGTTTACTAGACAGGCGCTCTAACCAACTGAGCTACAGCGCCAACTACGAGGATATAAAAAAATTGTTGTCTTATGATCTTTTTTCAGCTTTATCATGTTATTGTTTTCGATGTTACTTCGGGAGTATTTCACATGAGTACCTTGTTTGTCTGCACTCTGGTTACTACATGTAAGAAGAGCGGTTGAATGGGGCAATCGGAGAGCTTGATCAAGATGGCTCTTCGTCCTTAGCTTCCTTGGTTAAAATCAGGTTCCCTTACATTTTCTTTCAACTAAAGTTTTTATTTGACGGGCAACATTGGACTTACACTGGTCACGATATTGACCCTTCACTTTGTTCCAGTATTAGCTAAAGTATTTAGAACTTTTTCCTATCCTTTATTGGGGAGCTTATGCAACAACGAAGGCGACGGGTACGAAAACGTCACTTAAAAAGTGAATTCGCCCTGCATCAAACTTTATCGCGCTTATTCCATCTCGTTTACTTCGTCAAATGTTGGCAAGTGTTGGCAAATGTTTTTGGAGTTGTATTCTAAAGGACTGTATCAAAGTTTAGGAAAAGAAAAAGAAAGTTGTTGTCTGGTGTTCTTGTCCTCGACAAAACGTGAATTTAGGCACTTTAACGTTGTAGTACATACATACATAAACTTTATTTTATCCTCGGATTTTAGTGTAGCTTACATAGCTAGTATCTCCGATCCTAACTAATTTTAAAAGTTACAACATATATAATATAATATTAATTAATGTAGTATTAACTAAAACCGTGCACTAACAATTTGCGCTTAAATTCACTATAATCTACAGTAGTCGTGCAACGGCGGCAAAGAAATGTACAAACAAGCGTGATGCACGTGCAAACTTGTTGTTTTATAAAATTACCAGTCTAACTAAACCTTTGCTTTTTTGCCGTTCTCGTTGCCGTCGCCGTCGTCGTTGCTTAAGCTCTCTAATATCGCTGCGCCGTTGAGGTCCTAGTTAGACCAGCAAACTTATATGTGTTAAAAGTTAAAGCACATGTCATGGCCCTCATAAACTATGGCACGTGCAGTAATCAATAGTGCAACCTCTCGTAAGTGATCCGAACCCAAAATGCGCAGATTTAATTAGTGGCGATCACTTATGGGAGGTGGTCGCTAATGGAAGAAGTCCGAACACAACTAGATTTTGGAAGAGAATTCATTGCATGTAATTTCTTAGTTACGATATCTGGAGTTTCCTGTTGTCACTAAATAAAAAAGTTCTTCTCATACTCTGAATAATGTACTATTATATACCTACAGCGCAAATCAAGATCAAACCATCCCGCAAGAGATCGCTTACAAAATAAGAGAATTAATATGGAGAATTTTAAAACTGTCATTTTTTTTTACAAGAGGTGGTATTTTACGAGAGGTTCTAACGGTAGTGATTTGACTGTGGTCGCTTATGGTCGCACACAGAAGTTCGACTGTATCGGATGGGTAAAATTTTCTGGCTTAGCGTCCGATACCAAAAAAAACTATTTATAATAATATACTCTTCTAACTTAACCGTTTTATTGTCTGCTTTTATCTCTTCTGCAGTCGTTGTTGTTGTTGTAGTATTTTGTTAATGTCCTCTTTGTTGTTTGGCCGTTTGGGCATGCCACATCGGGGGTGAAGACTCTGATCTTGGCCTCTCTTCTTGCTGAGGTTTTGTTTCCTGCGGCCAGGGGTCCCGGCAAAGAATAAACATTGCCTTGTTCACGCATACTTGCATGGTTGTCGTTCATCAGTATTTATTTTTTAAAGAGTCAAAGACCCTACAAATTCCCACCCTTGCCCCTTGTTTTTCCAGGGAGGATGTTCTGTGTGAAAAGTGCATAATTACCTGCGTGAGTTGCTCAATAATAATTCTTTTAAGCTCCTGAAAAATTTACCAGGATTACTATTCAAATCGCTTTTCCGAAATTTTGATTTCACGTGACCCACAGTAGGTCACTGCAAATCAATCATTAGCCTGTAAGCAAGCTCATTATGGCGAGCGAAGCGAGCCGGGAGAGAACACGTGAGGGTTTCCTTTCCCGTGCGGCTCTCGCGTCAATGGACCTTTTTACCGATACGGCGGCCATATTGAATTAATTGGATTTAAGGAGTATTATAGGTTGCCCAGGGGGCATGAGCACGATCCGATATACTCGCATCAGTGATTACGCGCGCTTTACGGGCCGATTTTTCTTTAAGTTTTGCTAGAAAAAAATTGTAATGGGAAAAATAGATCGTTGTGCCTTGTTTGGATGTAATGATGATCCCTTGTTTGCCAAGAAATATACATTGAAGTTCTCTTTTTGCCCGAAAAGCGCGCGTAAATGCCGAGCGAGTGCCCCCTGGGAATCCCATAATACTCCTTAAATCTAATAATTTCAATATGGCCGCCGCATTGGTAAAAAGGTCTATTCAGGGACTTTCCCAAATGGAGAGCTTGCTCATCAGTCACTTGCCTCTCCCCCAACAACAGGCGAGAAAATTTTGCGCCACGCTGTATAATAATGTCTTGCAGTTCGTCAAACTAATTTGAGCGTAGTCATTGTTGCAGGTACCGATTTGTTGTAATATAAATCCGTAACAAGAAACCATGGCGCCAAATGGCGCCATAACACGGGTCAGTTTCGTAGTAGAGCGACCTTGCGTGGCATGCCAACATCCAAAAGTTACAAACAAATGAAGGTTAAATAAAATCGGTGAATTTGCACTTTTCAAAAGACTTAAAAATACTTTTGCATTTTCAGATCCTTCTATCTATTTATTCGTGAATTTTTTTGTTACATAAAGTGGTATAACTATTTTTGGGGGGTCGTGACTACAAGAGGTTACGTGACTATATGATGGTTCTGTCCAACACAGTATCCCTTGTGAATTGACCCATATCGTGAATTGTTAAATGAAGGTGAATTCACTATTATCATGAATTTGAAGATACTTGTGGTGAACTCCGCTGAGCGTGGTGATCAAAGTGTCGTACGATGACGTTCATAGGTTCATAGCCATTCATATGCAAATCGCAGGCAAATCGCTCAGTCTTAAAAACCAGCTTACAGTCGGCTGTAAATTTTTGTAGGCGTTTGTATACAGTTTACTTTGGCCATTTATTTCCACTTTTCATTATGAGTGGGCAAAACGCAGGTAAGAAAATTATAAATGTTGGTTATCCAAGTAAGATATGCATCCTTAAAATTCCGAAGAACCACCTTTATTCTTGTTTAACCTCGCGTTTCTCTGCTCTCCGCATAATTCTGTCCATCAATACCATTTTGGAGCTATTAAAGAAGATCTCAAATCCTAAAATCATGATCCTTCAAGCCAAACAGCTGCAAAGCAGAAAGTTTGAAGTGGCCACACAGTGTAGACGGGAGCTTAGAAAGAGATAAATGAAAGATTGGCATAGGTATCGTCCTGCAATTCAAGCACATTCTGACAAACATGCACAAACTGTCTAGATGCTCCAACAAGACAACAGCACCATGGCTGCCATGCCGGTGGGTATCGACCAAAACTTTTTTTTTTAATATTTATTTATTTACAAAAGAAAATTAATTGCAAATACGTGTTCTTTTAACTATTCAAAACAATATTCTACTTTCGCAGCGTGCTGAAAATAATATATATATAGAAAAAAAAACTAAATTTGTAAAGGAAAGAAATTAAATGAAAAGGAAAAAGACGCAAACCTAATAAGTGAAACAGTACACCAGTAAAGTGTAGCTTAAAGGAATAAGTATTATCGAAATGACACTAACATTCACATATCTACAGAAGTTTGGCCCATGTTTTTTTAAATTGCGATAAGCGGTTAGATCTAAAAGCTATGGTGCGAAGGATATCAATTTTGTGATTGAGACGCAGTAGAAAACTGTCAAAGTCCAGGACGCCGTTGCGTACGCTTGTAGCAAAAACATTATATTTGGCGACAATCAAACAGTAATTAAGCACTTCCCAGTTATCGACCAAAAACGATGGATGAATTCCCCACTGACATAAAGAGCACAGTTTTTTCGTTGGTTATAAGGACGGCAGCATCACCTCGAGCTCCAGAGCAGAGTACTCTCAACTGAAAGAGCAGTGTCGTGGGAGCGTGATCGCCAGAAACACGTACAGGTAAAGAGGCGTCGACAGAAACACTGACGCATCGCTCTACAAGGGTGGCTGCTTCTGATGCAGACAAAAAGCGCTGGCGTAAGCTGTGGCGACAGAGATTGTACAGCTTATTACCAAGTCTGATAGCCGAACAAAGAAGCATAACCCATACAGGAGACAGCAAAGGCGTTGGTTGGAGGTCAAGAAGCTCACGCTTTGCGACATGAGCAAAGATGAGAGCAATGACACTGCAAGCCGAACTCCCGTTGCGGCCGTCTAGTGTTGACTGGCTGACCTCTGTAGGATATTTCCATAGAACCATGTTACTTTGCGGGATGTTTTCCCCGACGACGTCTATTTTGTCGCTTTCAGCCTTATCGTCAGGCACATTGTCAGGAACCACTGGCGAGTCTTCGTTCTCGCTATCATCCGCTGCCATCTTCATTAGCATCGTCGACAAAATCGCCCTCTATATCTATTATCTTTCGTGATTCCTCGCAGCTACTTCCAGCTAAAGCCACTTTAAATTTTGAGGCAGCACTGGTTAGTTGGCCTTGGCAAAAAGCGATCCCTTTTTTAGCACAGGCCAATTTTCCACTGATAACTGCGATGTCTTCCGCCTCCGTTTTGTACCGGCACATCACTGCCTAGGTAAAAAGAGTATAAAAACCCAGCTCGCGAGAAAGGAAAATGGTCTTGTAATACAAACGTTTATAAAACACTGAAAGAAAAATATACGCTTTCCCCAGTTTGTATTTCACCAGAAACGCCTACGTTTTCTTTTGCTTGTTTAAGATCGAACTAGCTGGAAAGACAACCCGATCCAATTCTTTTCGATCACCCGGCATGGAGGAAGAGGGGATGGAAGTTTAGTCGCAACTTTTTGTAGTGTACTGGAGGATATTGTCATTCAATGATTTTGCTTTATTTTCGAAATGCCACAGTTGCTGCCGTACCGAGTATTTTCAAGTTACCGACAGAACGGAAATTTACACCTTAATAATTCATCGATAATAACTAATGAATTAACGTGCTCTTAGCGTCACGTTTAAGTTAACGAATGGAAAAACCCTTGACTAGCGAAATTACAAACACAATATGCCCTCATAAGACGTACATCTGATTCCAGAGATGCTTCCACTGGGATGGCGTCCACTGGGGGCTCGTGGTCACATCTATCTGGAAAGCCTGTCAAACGATCTTAAGAGAAAAAAACACGGAGAGAGAAAAATTGATAAGGAATAAAAAATATCTGCTAACTTCAAACGAAATGGCTCAAAAAGCAACATATAAGGAAATAAATTGTCATTAACCATCAATTTTCGCTTGCATCCCCTCTGCGACTTTTTTTGAGTCGCGGAATTTCGACATCCATTTACCACGAAATGAAGTTAACCATCTCCTTCTTGAGAAGCGAGACTTCCTCTTCCCACCTCTTCATGATCTCATGCTTTTCGACGATCATTATTTTTATTCGGATTGGTGTATCTAAAATAAAGGTGACAAATTCCAAACAAAAACTTGCAAATGCCATTTACCATGTCTATTATTACAAAGAAATGAGAAAAGGAAACCTATAATTTATAAGGATGATGTGACGTTTTGCTGTTTTGGCCTTTTTGGGCCTCGTCAGCACGGCGTAGCAACATTAAACAGAGTGAACAGAAGTAATGTAACACAGGATTCCACAATCACCTGTTAGTTACAGGTGAGTAAGAAGCAGCCGTGGACAGCGATAGGAATACTGTAAGTGGAGTTCGTAAATTCTCTTTTTCATCTAATTTTACTCTAAGCGGTAAAGGTTTGCGCTATAAATTGGACATCAACTTGACTGGACTGAAAAAAAAAATGCTATGACAGAACAATAGATTCACCTTCATTATATCCCCAGGGGAAGTTTCCGTTCATTATCTCGGACAAAGTACACTGAGTAGATGTCAAAGCATGCTCATCACATGCACACTGTCTTTTTTCATTGTACCTCTGTACACGGGAAGTTAGTTTTGCCTTCTCAGCAGTAGTTTTACTGCGGAGGCGTGTTCGTTGCTTGGATGAATCTGCGTTTGATATGAAAAATTACCAACAAAGAAACAAAAGTTAAAAAAAAAAAGACAAACAAGTCGCTTAAAGAAAGGTATCCCTTTCAGCTAAATTTTCCATTCATCTGCGATTACCCAAATAAGTACTAACCAAATTGAAAGAATAGAAAAATGAACATTATTTCAATCATTTCCCCGTATAAAACCAGAACAAATTCCTCGCACAGACTTGTACATTGTATCATATAAAATCAATAAGTAAAATGAGTACATGCAACATGAACCTTAAAACATTTGACAAATTGTGCCAGGTGAGAAAATTGTGAAGAAGTGTGAAACTATCCAATTCATTTTTTAAACTTCTGCCTGTCTGGGTTGGTTGAATTCCCAAATAATAAACCATGGGTGGCAAAACACTTACTTTTCAGGAAACATGTACTTAGTTGTGTTTCCACATCATGACATATGAGAGTTTATCTGCTCCACTTCTTCACCAGTGGAGGCAGCACCCTCATCTTGCCAACGACCACCCCATATTACCTGATAATGAAATTATATTCAATTGTTTAGGGTCATATTAACTAAAATATTAAGTTCTAACAAATGTGACATAATCTGTAGACATTTTGCAGTCAGGTTTGAGATTGCATTTCTTTCTCATTAACAAATAAAATAAAATAAAATAAAATAAATAATGATTTGCAGGTAGCACATCCACATAGTGGTTCTTCGTCTACCTGATTCCTGGTCGAATTGGAATTTGGAGATGCTGGTTTTTGAGGAGAGGGGGAAAACCGGAGTACCTGGAGAAAAACCTCTCGGAGCAAGGGAGAGAACCAACCACAAACTCAACCCAAATATAGCATTGACACCGGGATTTGAACCCAGGCCACACTGGTGGGAGGCAAGCGCACTCACCACTGCGTGTCCCCTCGTGTTCCTAGGTGACTAGAAAATCTTACTTTTTATCCTGCATTTCACAGGTTCAGAGGATGAATCCCTTCAGCTTTTTCTTAGAGCACAACCTTGATAACTATATATTAATTTATTATTCAATCATTTCGGTATCTTGATGTGTTAAATTGTAAATTTAATTTTACTGAGATTATTTTCAACAAACCTGACTTTATTAACTGACACGTCCAATTGTAAGCCTTAACCCATGCATTATGGACAGGGAAGGCTTCATATCACTTCCTTCACGACCACCTGCCTTTCTTGCCCACTTCCAGTACCTGCAAACTATATCCTCTCAAAAGTGTTTGACACCAGCTGGTATCATTTTCTTTAGGTGAATATAGTTTGCATAGCCATATACATTGTAGTTCTCCTTGAAACATGTTAACAGCCCATTGGGCTAAGCCATGCCTACAACCTGTTAATTGAAGTTGCAGTTTATACTTAGTACAACTTCCCCTATAATAACAACTTTTCTTGTACCAATAACAAATGGCAACAATAATAACATTGATAATGATAATAGAATCAATAATAATAATTACAACATTACATGTGAAAGAACTATTTCATTAGCATCAGGGCTACACAGCTACTATAACCCTGACCCCCACTTACTTTTTCATAGAAAAATAAAGAAAATATCCACTGTAGAACCGAAAGACATCACCAATAGCTGACAGATTTCCTGCCCACTCTTTCCATTTACTTGACAACTTAAAATATTAGCGATAGCCCTGATCATAATCAATATTACATGTATTACATTTGACCTGCAATCTCAAGTCTGGTCTCATCTAGTTTAGCTGACTTTCTGCCTCCATTGTCTGCAACGTGCTGGTGAGTGTCTTCACATCTATTTATCACTCTCCTGTGAGAAAAAAATGAAAGAAGATTAGGAGATTTGAATCAGATATAAGTATATCTTATCATAAAGCTGTGCTCAAAGCATTGAAGCAGATGCATTATGGAATAAGTCCTTGAATAACATGTGACGTAACATGAAAGTATCACTTTGATTCACTTAGTAGAAATCAAACATTTTATCAATAAATTTTGGCCTTAATTTAGGCACAGCTTTGATTGTTAGTTTTATTAAATGCATTATGCTATAACATAAATAACAGCAATTGGAAGATAATTCCACCATACTTCCTGGAATAAATTAACAGTGAAGAAAAAAATGTATTATAATAACCTTAGATCTGGATGTCTTTGAAAATACTGCCTTCAGGTGGTTGTCTACTTTGCACTTGTTGGCAATAAAAATATTTCCATAATAAGATGGCCTTCGCTGACAAAAAGAATAAGAAAACAAATAATTAAGGCCAATTCACATTTACCGTAAGTGACATTCCATATGAAATGATTTTGAAAGTTCTTTTTAAAGATTCCCTCTATTTCTTTTTGTTGTTATTATCTCCCCTTTTAAAGATGGCCATTATTCATAAGAAATGCCTTTTTTTGCTAATTCCTGTTCTCTAACTCTTAAAGCCTGCCCATAGAAAGCTATTAAAAAAAACAAACAAACAACTACATGCAATAATATTTTAGCTCATCATACTTATGACTTAAAAGTTTATGTGAAGTATATATGAAATAATTCATTTTTGAACTGCGGTTGTAGATGAAAGTGAAGAATGATCATCGCAGTATATTTCCAATTTAAGCAATTGGAAAGAATAAGCGTGAAAAAATCAGGGCCTCAACGGGATTCGAACCCGTAACCTCCGCGTTACCAGTGCGTTGCTCTACCAACTGAGCTGCGAAGCCACACATTGGGAGCGAGGTCAATTTATCGAGTTGATATCTCCCGTGAGGAGTGAAATGATGTGAAGTATATATGAAATAATTCATTTTTTTTTTAAAGTTTATATCAAACTACAAGACCAGTATCAATGCCAAGTATGAATTATTTGTAGACTAAAATGTAGCTTGCCAATTTAAAGAACTAACCCTCAGTCATAGGAAAACATTTGCTTTAACAAGTTGAATGCTTACATGTACTGGCAAAGCACTAGAAAGTATTATGAAAAATAATCACACACATACGGTCACCATAGAATGTTAATTTTTCGTAATAGCAATACGAACTTAACACTACCTTCCTGATGACTTGTATCTGTACAGTTTCATGTTACCATCCACATGACAAGAGTGCTGAAAAATGGAACATGTTGGACACTTCACCCAGTCCAGCCCTTGGAGACCCTCTAATTCGAACTGGCAAAACTTCCACTCTTTGAAAGATCGGCTAAAGGTGGCATGACTGATAGTAGGTGCCTGTCAAAATGATGCATGCATTGCAAAAATTGAAGTAAGAAAACCGCTATTTGTTTAGGGCCTTAGTACAGCATTGGCAAAAACATGAATGCTCTGCAATGGGAATTAACAAAAGAAAAAACTTAAAATACATCTACAGTGAGTGGATTACCATCCACTGTAGAGCAGGCCAGAAATGAGGCCTTTTCCCCTATGATACCGTACAATTCCGAAAATAAGCCCCGAGGCTTACATTTTTCAAAGACCCTTTTTAAGGGGCTTATTTTTGGAGGGGCTTATATTCGGAGGAGCTTATCTATGGAGGGAAATTTGCGTTTCAAAATCAATTGGGCTAGCGTTATAGTTGGAAGTAAATTTACAGTTTTTGCTTTGTTTTACTTTGTATTTGAGGACAATTTCCAAATACAAGCCCCCGGGGGGCTTATATTTGGAGGGGCGATTTACCCCTGAGTGGCTGTGTACTGTTTACTAGCTTCTTTAGTCAAAAGCTAATTTTTAACAGCTTACCTACATCCCCAGGGGCCCCACTCACATATTTTAATGACGGGGGGGTCCGACAGAGGTTCATATTTTATACCCCCAAAAAATCCCTCAGTGTTCAGAGAGTTTGCATCAGCAAATTTTATTATTTATCTTCTGGAAAGCTAAAACATGCCAACTTCAACTTTGGTTTGGTCAAAAACAAAACTATAAATTGTGCTTATGTTATTTTTGATTTGAGCTGATGAAAAATACAATACCCCAAAAAATCCCTCTGTTGTTTTCGCGACCCCAAAAAATCCCGGCGTCTTTCATAGACCCCAAAAAACTCCCTTTTGGCCAAAATGTCAGACCCCAAAAAATCCTTCGGACCCCCCCCCGTCATTAAAATATGTGAGTGGGGCCCCTGGGCCTACACCTTTCTTTAATCCATTTTCACCAATGGTAATTGTTAGAGGGATAGCCTCAAAGAAACCATTTACAAAACCCTCCTCTGCCATGGAAAGGCAAGGATGAATGTACCTTTCCATCACAGGAAGGGCATTAAAATCCCTTGGGGCAGTTACTACATCTTATGAGGACTTTCCCCTCACAACAATGTGGGCAGATGTTAGGTGAAGGCAGGCCCTCACAACTACGGACAGCCTCCAGCAGAAGTTTCTGGCTGCTATCCCATTTCATGGTTAAATTGGACATTCTGGTGTCCCATTTTTTTTGTTGCAGGATCCTTATATGTGGTGAGAACGTTGTTGCATCTCATCAATGCAGCCTCAAGATCATCTGTGGAGAAGTAAACATTTGCTTGCCCTGGATCTGGTTGAAAGCAGTCTATGTTTCAACACCACAAGTATATTTAGTATACAAAAAACACAGGGTAAATAGCAGGTGACAATAACAAATTGGCAAGGAAATGACACTCAAGGTATGATGATATGTAACTGAGTGAAGGCTAGAACTTCTCAGTCACATTTATCATGATATTGTTATCTATTCATGTTGTCTTTCAGGAGCATGGTTAAAAACAACAAAAAATATTTTTCTAATTAAACTGCTAATAAAAACATAATATTGCAAAATGAAAGCTTGGATTCCAAGCTTTCACCAATCAATGGCATCATTAAGATATCTATTTGAAATACTAACAAATTTCTACTTGTATTAAACAAAAATTTCCATAAATTTTACAATCTTAGACTTACCATCATCAGTTGATGGTATGCTCTGTTGCATTTCAGCAAGATCACAGACACTTACTTCATCAAGATCAGAGTTATCGCTATCTGTGAATTTGAAAACAACAACAATAACACTAACAACAAAATAAGCTTAAGAAAATAAAGATTGATTAAGCTTGAGCTTGATTAACACACAGTATTACCACCAAGCAAAGCAAAACATTCTCTGAAGCTTACAATGTTACAAGCAAGTAACGAGTACATTAACATGCAGTCAAGCAAATCAAAGTTCTACAGCGAACAAAGAGAAGATCATAATTGCCCCCGCAGGGATTTCGCCCAAAAGGCGAAATCCCGAGGAGGCACTCTAGTAACTTGTGCGTATATTAAGGAAAGTACTTACAGTTGAAATATACAGTCATACAGTCAATATAGAAAAAATCTTGATTTGCTTGAACAGGGGCTGCGAGGAATTGGCAGGTAATGATGACGTTTCTATTGTTTGCGCCCGCAATTACGAAATGGTTAGGATGACGTAAAGACAGAACATCCCCAAGGGACCGCTTAGGTAGATTTTGTGACATTTATTGTGCAGTCATACTTTGACACTCTTTTGCATTACGTGTTATCAGTGACATTCTGTGGAGCAGTTGTTTCAGTGAAAGTAATGGACCAAAATTGTAACGACACTCATTAAGCGCAGAAGAAGTTATAAGGTGCGTATAACTGTGTATATATAGACACTCGGGGAGTTTGCCAGACAAGAGTTCAGAAATCTTTCATTGGAAACGTTGCCAGACACTCTTTCTCTCTCTTTGACCGGAATAAGAGTCAGCCCGAAACAAGCAAGACGAGTGAACAACGGCTAGCTTCTCACTAGCAGAATGATGGACGATTACAGAAATTGTCGACAATCAAATTTTTCTGCTGACTTAATCCCCTGGGGGTACTCACATACATTACGTACATGGGTATGTGCCGCCCAACGGGGTCATGATTTTGAAGCTCCTGATTTAGAAAGGGGTATCCATTTCAGAGGCGTTTTCTAGAACGGGGTATAATATTTTGAACGCATGAAAGCTCCAGTTTTGTAAGCAGCCATCAAAGATGGGAAATAAAAAAAAATCGTGGATCATGGCTTTACCTTCTCCTTAAAATTGTTGCTGATTATGAACAAGCATTTATTTGAAATTTGAATTCAGATTTGAAAGCTTAAAAAGCAAATTCAGTTTTATTCTTTCCGTCAACAGGTTAATGATTGGATACTCTTAAGAATAACAGAGAAAATTATCCGAGAAAATCGTTTTGAACAAAGAAAAAGAAGGCCGGGTTAAATTTAACCCTGGGCTAAGCGCTAATCGGCGTTCGAACAACTGGGCCCAAGGCTATTTCAATTTACAAACCTTCTAGAACGGGGTATAAACAATTGGCCCATTTCGAGAACGGGGTATCAATTTTAGGGGAATTTTTTTTGGAACAGGGTGCCAACTTGGAGTTCCGAGCGACACATACCCACCCAAAAAATACCCAAGTGCCCCCCGGGCTTATTCCCTGCTCACAGATGCTCCCGGGAGATGCCTTCCGCTATAAAACTAAGACTAGAATGCGCGAGTGTCAATTGATCAAACGTCCTTTTAATTTCTAAGGCTTCCTTTCCGGCAAATAAAATGAACGGAATGTAAAATGTGAAAGAGAAATAGGGAAAAATTCAACTTCTAATTAAATCTTTTCTTATGGTTTAGAATAAACTATTCTCGAAACTGAGAATGTTTTGATCAAAGCTGTGTAAATCGACCCGAGACTGTGCATTCAACCTTGCGTTTCCTCTATTTATCTCACCTGTTGTATGGAATATGTGTGAAAATCTTCCTTATGAATCGGTATATTTCAAAGAGCTAGACAACGAGCAAGAATGCTATTGACCGACAATATACAGAGCGGGGGCAGCTGTAGTATCAACTATTACTAGTTTTAATATTTAGTGTTACCCTGACAGCTGGTAGTCACCCGGTAGTCACAGTGTGTTTTTCGTCTTCCTGTTACAGGATCACGAGAAATACGAAATCTTGTCTTTTTCGTTGGCTTCTTTGAAGACTCCAGGAGTCTATTACATTCGTCAATAGACTCCTGAAGCGCTTTTTCGACATCCTTCTGACTCCTTTTTCTCGGCCTCGAACACGACATTTTGCTTCCTATCGGAGCAGCTTCCGAACCGCTAAGCACCATGGGAAGTATGTCAATAGTGAATTCACGATATGGGCCAATAGGGGATACTGTCGCCGATACTGTGTTGTTTTGTTATTCTTTGGCCTTATTCTTTTGAACTCAGGCAGCGCTGAAATCCGAATGGTATTAAAATACCAGAGAGATTCAGAGGAGAATCAAAATTAAGTGCAATAACAAGCGAACCCGAAGCTGTTCAAATAAAGGTCTTGAGCTTGTTGACAGAAGCAAATGGCAAATAACAAAGGCAAAGTTGTTGTGGATGCTATTGAACCACAAGTGAAAGGCAAACACGAACACGTTGAGAATGCAAGCAGTACGTCAAGGCCTTTAGGAATAACAGAACGAGTTTTACTTGAAAGGCAACGTATTAATGGCTGGGGGACCGTGACATCGGCACTGTTGGTGGATTCTACGCAAGAACTGAAGCAAGATGACCTCAGAAAAGCACTTGGCCTTCTTACTAAACGGTACCCTTTACTTCGTATGAGAATAAAAGAATCCGCCGATGAAGTATTCTTTGAAGAAATGGAAGACCACGATAAAGTTGATTTTGACCTGTTGGACCATATAACAGCCGATAACTGGGTACAAGGCACGGAGGAAGAACTTAACGGTTGTAATTTTGACATCACCAGGGGGCCTTTGTGGCGAGTCAAACTACTGAAAGAAAATTTCAGCGAGAGAAAATACAAAAACGCAGTGGTGTTTACATTTATGCACGTCATCTGTGATGCGCTCTCTATTTTTGCGCTTCAAAGAAAGCTACTGGAATTTCTCAATTCTCTCAGCAGCGGCCAAGAAGTTGAAGCAGAAAGTCTTCCTCTTAGGCCTCCACTGGAATCACTGGCCGATGTTGTTCACCCTAGCACCAAAGAGAAGATATTGTTCTCGAGTTTCTTTAAGTTCCAGCAAACCAAAGCGTTTCTTGTCAAGCCCAAGAATTTGTTTCTATCGATTTATCCCCCTGTGGCAAGAAAAGATCCGGCGGTGACCAAGAAAACCAGTCTTTCGGCTCGTAGTCTCACTGAAGAAGAAACCAAACTGCTCATCAACAGGTGTAAGGAAAACAGATGCACAGTCCATGGCCTAATTACTGCTTCCACGCATCTCGCGATTGCGCGAATTCTACTTCGAGGGAAACACGATTTGAAATCTCCAGTGTCGCTGGAATCATCTTACACCATCAGTTTACGAAAAGATTGCGAGCCAAAGCTCAGCAACGAAGAATTTGGTGCCTACATGACCGCCAGTGGTTTGACAATTGCCGTGCCTCCGGTTGAGCCAAACGACAAGCAAGGCTTCTGGGAGTTCGCGCGTGAGTGCTCTCGCAAAGTCCACGCGCAGTTGGATTCTGGAAAGTATCGAAATCTACCGAAGTTGTATCAGTGTGTTGATGTTCGATCGTACTGCAAAATGTCCAACATTGATTTCAACGAGGGTCGTAGAGTCCAGGTCCTTAACATAACCAACTGTGGAGCCTTGGTGACAAAGCAAGCGGAAGATATTCGTTACAAGTTTGCTGGCTGGTACTTTGGCCTGCAAGGCACTAATACAAGTCACCTGTTTGGAAATAACATCGTGACGATAGATGGGCGACTTTACTGGGCCGTGGAGTATTTCCCACATGTCACTACCATGACACAAGCTGAAGAAGTATTTGACTCGACTTTGGAAGTAATAAAGCAAGCTTGCATGGAGTGACTTTTTAATTCAATATGTTTTTGCAATACCACTGTAACAAAAAACTGATTTGTAATGAATATTAAGCCTACAATATAAGACACAAAATATACTCTGACAACAAAAATAAAACAATAATGATGTAATGATGATAATTACTATGATTATGATGACGTTAATGATGATGATGATGATAAGACAATGGAGCCTCTGGGCATCAATAAACGTGATGAACTGTAACTATATATAGTGTATCTTTTATGTTTTCGGTCATTATTTTACTTCATATATATTTCTGTAAATTCGTGATATCTCAATAAACCTGCTGTTGAAGACTGGTAATGGCCAGTCGAAATATCGCAACTTAACTCTATTTCAAGTTGTTTGATCAGTCCCCGCAAAAGTCTTCGTGACTGTAACGTTTTCAATTTTATATATTTTGACTGATCGCGATCTTTTTGGATCCGACGTTGAACAAGATTGTTCGTACACGGTTTTTGCAGTGGTTTTTTTACCTTAACTAAACATGATGAAAATAATTTATTGGTAACATTTTTCATTTCATTTTACGCTGACAAATATGTACAGTCAAACCTGTAGCCAATAATAGCCAACTAACCGTTTAACACAGGTTTGGCAAAGCTGGGAGTTAATCAAGTAAATTAAGATGGTGAAAAGTTTTTGTAAGTAACTTAGAACGTTATTTATGAGAAGCAATTTCAAATTGTCCGAACTTCAAATATACAAATAATACATGCAAAGGCGCGAAGGAACTGAGGTCGAAAAAAATCAGAACGTTTTCAGCTTCTTCCAACACCGTTTATATGACTCCGTAGTTTTAAATTTGTGTGAAAGTCAGATTTTCGTAGCGGAATCAGAACGCTGTTTTCACTTGAGAATAATCACAATACTCGGCACTTCTGATTACTAGACGAACGCTTTATCCAACCAAGCTACGATTCCAATTCTGCGAGAATAAGGTGGACAAACAGTTTCCTTCAGCTAAGGAAAAACTGCCTTAATGCAACAACAACAATCAGACAATGGTGAAAATGATAATGATATTGATATTGAAATTACAACACCAAATTTTATTGCAATTAAATATATAACTGCGTACATTACTTTCCCACCCGCCAATAGGTTATAAACTAATCGAGGCGGGGGGAGCTAAGGACATGTTACAAAAACAAGGTTTATCTATAGATGGACTAAACAACAATAAAGACACTACACTACAATAAATAAGACTAGCTACAAGCACTCTCAAGTTTTTTCTTGGTGCGTCGAGCAAAACGGTAGAGGCAGGCAAATGACCACCCGCGTGACTGAAGGCGCGAGACGGGAGAGGCACGCAAAAAGGCATGTCAAACTCTGAAATATCAATTCTCATATGCGATGCCTTCACTTGTAGAGTGGAATGTGTATGAAGTTTGTCCGTTAGATATGTTTTTGCAAGTAAGACAGTTTTTACCGCATGGGTATGAGTCCCGGGGTTGATTGTGAGATTGCGAAGTTTAGCCCTAACTAGAAAATCACTTAGGTTATTGCTATGTTTGTGCGACCATTTTTCGTAGTAAACGCGTTGAGATGGGAGTAAAGGGAATTGGGATGAGCTCTATATACGGTAAGGTTTACCTTTTACCAATTTTAGTCTTAATTGGAAACTCACATGGCAAGTTATTCCATAACGGAAACTCTCGTACATGCAGCAAGTCTAAAGAAAGTACGATGTGTTTGTTACCATTTTTTGTAGTAATAGTGTTGAGATGGGTGTAAAGGGCATTGAGATGAGCTAAATATACAGCAACGTTTACAATAAACGTTTTTTTACTGGTTGTTGAAATGTCACGTGACAAAGATACTTTTGTTCTTGGGCCATCGTAGTTTGATAAAAAATAAAACGCAAACATTGTGAGTTTTCGCATTTTTATAAACTTGACGTTTCGTATGCTATTCAACATACATTTTCAAAAGTGATTTTAAGTGACCGTTAAAGAAAATGACGAGATTATATATTTAGAAATTACAAAGGGTCTTAAAATGAGATTAAGGATTTAAAAAATTCTTAACAGTAATAAACACAAAAGGCAACAGCTAATAAAGCATCAGCTTTTCACTGCTGATGTCGACATTAAAAAGGTCCTGAATAAACAATGTTTCTTTTATCTTACAATGATAATCTTTTTTGCCAGATGCTAAGATTTTAAAGTGATCCCATTTAATGTTATGTCCGGTGGCAGTGATATGGTCAGCAATAGCTGAAGGGTGATCATTTTTTGTTAGGGACTTGAAGTGTTCAGTCTTCCTATCATGGAGCCGTCGATTACAATCCCAACAACAAGCTTTGTAAATGACTTTGGATCTTTGAGAGCGATTAAGGCGGTCCTTATATGGAAAGAAAGATTTAATACGGAAGGTGTTTTGAAAAACTATCTTTAAATTAACACAAGAGTAAAACTGGTAAATACAGGATTTTAGGCGTTTAGAAATTTGGTTGCTTTAAGGACCTAAATAAGGTAACAAAATAATAACATTCTTCTTAGGAACCATAGGAACAGGAACGACGTCATTTTACAATATTTTTTAAACTTACTCCTTATAGATAAAACACAGTCCTTTTTTTGTTTCTTTAACGAAACAAAAAGTTCATTTTTAACTCTTTTATGAACTGAAAAGACAAAATCAGACGAAAGAACTCGACATCTTCATCAACAACGTATGTAAACATCGATTTTTTCCTTACAAGAACAAACTCTTATTGGTTCAAATCATGAAAATGAAAACGCCGCCCATTTTGCGAACTACTTTTAAATCATTACAAATTGGCAAAATGTCCGTGCAACTCTTTACGAAACAGCTTCGCAAGTAAGTTCAGAAAAAACAGTACACCATATTAGCGACTGGTGGGAGGCAGGTAATTGTTTATTTTCACCGAAAGCGATTGGATTTCGCAGTTGTTAAACATGCCATCGAGCATATTGGGCGCTGTGGACCATCGTGGCAGAAGTTGTTGTTGCTGAATGGCTGTGTTCTTCGACCACTGAAGCAGACATTTCGCACCTGAGCAGTTGTGGAGAATTTTGAGAACTCTGATTGGTCACTTGTAAAGCAGGGGACAACACATCACTACATTTTCGGAGCTGCGAGGTACGAAACTGCTTAATAAAGTCAGCGCCGTAGCTATTATGAGGCCAACCGAGGCACTCGCCTCGGTAAAATTTTGACGAATTTCGCCGATCATTTTTATTTTACATAAGCGATCATCGGATATTTTTAACGCATCATGATATTACAAAGAATTCAGCAATTCAGTCAATATACTATGAAAAAATTACAATATCATCGATCTCAAGGGGCTACGTACGTTAACTCAAATTTTTTTGAACAAATACTGATCAAAACCATTGGCGAGGTTAACGGTCACCCAGATTATGTAGCTTGTTTCTGATTATTGCTTTTTAAATTCCACTTAAATTAACTCGAAAAAAAGTTACCGAAAGGCCCAGAAAACGCTGCAAATCGCATTTCCGAGAGACTAAAGTTCAAAATTTCTCGGGGGGAGGGGCATGCCTCCGAACCCCCCTAGCAACTCCCGCCTGCCTCGGTTGGCCGTTTGGTCTGGCTACGGCACTGAAAGTGTCAATACACAATGTGCTAGTGCAGATGATACCGGAACGTTTGACATTAAATTTGTCATGTATTTCAGTTCGCAATGATTTCTCTCGTTCGTAACGAAGTAATTTGTTTTTCTACGTTCCTTCATACCTTTAAAAACTTTTACAGCCCAAGGTGTTGAGCTTTTTGTGGCTTTCGCCTCTGCGTCTGGCAAAAGTG